TGTATTTAAAGGGCCAGAAGGTTGCGAACCACTGGTCAGTAAAGTTTCTGCAGACTGGGGTGCAGTTGCAGCTTAAGTTAGCTGGCTCTTTCGTGTTGGTGTTGCTGGATCGCCTTGCCTACCCACAAAAAGAAAAATGTAGGGCCGTAATTTTCGCTACTTAAGGGGGGAAATTAGCGTTTATTGAGCGCCCTCTTGTGTTAGACACTATTTCGTTGGCTCCCCAGGAGAGTTTCAGTGCGGAATTACCCTCTTTATTGTGAGTTGAGGCCAAAGAGTAATTTGCCCAAGGACACGGTAGCCAGGTGGTAAAACCACTGTTTCTAAATGTAGGCTGCAGTTTCTGTATCAAGTTAACAGAAGTTACTTTATTAAGTGGGGACTGCAGTCATTTCTGCCTGGCTTAAAAATCTTTAGTGGAGCCCCAAGTGTTTGCAGAATGAAGCCCAAGCGTTATATTGGGCCCCCGTCTAACTTTTCAGCCTCATTTCCCCTTTTTTCCTATGTTATACAGCCCTTTTGCTATACAGGGTTTATTCCTTGCCTAGGGAACTGGAGTTTCCGGGTTTGCCCTACAATATACAGTGAGTATTACAGAAACTAGTCTGAAGGAGTCAGAGCTTGGGTTTGAATACCCTGATCTATCCCTTATTGGCTGAGTAAATCTTGAGGGTTTCTTACTGTCAACAGGATCTACATTTCCTTTTCTATAAAATAGAAATAATAGTGTCTCCTCAAAGGGTGGTCATGAGGACCAAGTGAGATGATTTCTACATAGCATTGCTTGGTAACTTTATGCTTCCTTTAGTATGTGTTAAAAAAAAAAGTGGTTTCCCACCATGGCTCAAAAGTTCTTTGACAACAGAGACCTTTATTCCCAACAGAGACCATTATTTTTTTCTTCACAGCACTTTGTACTGTGCATTTCATATATGAACGGTGCTCAGTGTTTGTGGATGGATGAATCCTCAGGTTCCAAACCTAGAGAATGGAGAAAGTATGTATCCGGACAAAAGCAGGGTAGTTTGGTGATTGGGTGATTTGAAGTCCTGGTCCACCATTTATGACAGTATATGTAAACGTGCCCAGCAAAATATTTTACATAGAGCAGGTAATTAATTCATGTTTGTTTTATTTTCCCCAGATGTAATCTTCACGAGCTATTTAATCACGGAGACTCTCACTTTTAAAGAGACATAAACATGAGACTTTTTAATGTGAAATTATGTATTTATTTATTTATAGATACCGGTTTTTTTTTCTAATCCTCACTAAAGGATATGTTCCTATTGATTTAGAGGGAGAGAGAGAGAAAGAGAGAAACTAGTACCACTTACTACCATCTGACATTTTATATATTTATGTTTGTCTCCTCTCTGTGCAGAATTTCATATCCATGAAGGCTGGGACTACTTTGTGCACTGCTGTATCATCAACATCCCAACATCTAAAATACTTCTGGGCACATACTAGGTTCTCAATAAATATTTGCTGAATGAATGAATGAGCCAATGAGGAAGATAAGCTGCTAGATTGAGAAAAAAACAATGGCTGTGATATGGAAATCAAGGAAGAAGTATTTTAAGGAGGAAAGTGCTCAGTAGATGTGCCATGGAAATGGCCATGGATCTGGCTGGAAACGATACAACTGATGTAAGCACAAAGCAGGTCACAGGGTAGAGCTGCACTGGTCAGTGTGGCAGCCACTAGCTGCATGTGACTATTAAGCACCTGAAATGCTTGCTTAAAGGACTGGCTTAAATATAACAAAGTTCAACTGGGTAATATTGTAGCCAAGTATGGCTGGGTAGCCCAGTTGGTTAGAGCATGGTCCCAGTGCACCAAGCTTTCAGTTCGATCCCCGGTCAGGTATATGCAAGAATCAAGCAATGAATGCATGAATGTTTCTCTCTAAAATCAATGAAAAAATAAATTGTTTTAAATATTAAAAGCTGGGAAGTTGGTGGCATGTTTGAAAAGAGCAAAAAAGGAGAGCATTTGAAATGGTATTACATAAAAACATGTCTGTAATAGGTAAGAGGCAAAGACAATTAGAACATAGGCAACAAAAGTTGCCTTTCAAGAGGAAGAATACTATAGAATAAATTATTGGATGTTTGAGATAGAGAGAAAAGCCAGTCTTTCCTCGTTAGTGCCGAGAAGTTAGGCCATATAGTTTGGAGAAATTGAAACAGCATCTGAGGTTCTGCTAAGTTCCAAATTCTAAAAAATTTGGAAAATTAAAATCAATAAGTTCAAACTGGATGAGCTTGCCATTGTGATTTATCTACATAAGAGAAAAGCAGTCTTAGAAATCAGTTGCTGCTTGCCCATTTGGAAAGGGGTTTTTTCTTTTTTGATAATCCTCACCTGAAGATTTTTCAAGACTGGGAGAAAGGGAGGGAAGGAAAGGAAGGAGGGAGGGAGGGAGGAACATCAATGTGAGAGACACATCGATTGGTTGCCTCCCTCACAAGCCCCGGTGTGGGGCAGGGATGGAGCATGCAGCCCAGGTACATGCCCTTGATCAGGAATCGAACCCAAGACCCTTTGGTTTAAGGCAGTGATGCCGAACCTATGACATGCGTGTCAGAGGTGACACGGGAACTCATTTTTTTGGTTGATTTTTCTTTGTTAAATGGCATTTAAATATATAAAATAAATATCAAAGATACAAATCTTTTTTATACTATGGTTGCAAATATCAAAGAATTTCTATATGTGACACGGCACCAGAGTTAAGTATGGGTTTTTCAAAATGCTGACATGCCGAGCTCAAAAGGTTCGCCATCACTGGTTTAAGGGCCGACAGTCTAAAGGCTGAGCTATACCAGCCAGGACAAGGTTTTTTTTTTTTCTTTTAATTCCAGTGATGCATTACTGAAATAAGAGCATATTGTTACACAGAAATAAGAATGTACTTCTTAAAGGGATATAATAACTTGTATATACTACTAGAAATTCCATACACTCCAATGAAATTCCATTCAATTTGAATGGATAGTCTGAATATTTACTTAGCACTTATGTGCCAGACACCATATTAAATATTTGAGTCAAGAATTATTTATAATCTTTTTGTGAATGAGGATAAATTTCAAGAGATTAAGCAATTTAAGCAATGTCAGAGCCTATGAGGGTGGAGCTGGAACCCTAGGAGCAGGGCTGGGAGACTACTGAGGTGCCCCTAGGAGCCTGGTTTGCCTTACTGTAGTGCTGGTCCTGCCAGGGAATCTTAACCTTATTCTTTAACCTCTATGCTATCTTAACTTCAATGTACCTCAAGCAGTTCAAGTATTAATGCTTTGCCACTTTAGTAGGGTCTAACAGTTGAAATTAATAATCACACCATCAATTCTAAATTTACACATCACTTCCTCAAGGACCTTCCTGATCCCAAGTTTAGGTTAGGCATACCTTGTTTTTCTATTGCATTTTATACTTATAATTTATAGGCTAAAAGACGGAACTTTAAAGTCAGATCTTTTGAGATACTTAAAGGCTGAATTATTTTGAGTAAATTTTCCTTATCTGTAAAAAACGTATTAATAGTACCTATAACTTAGTTGTTTAATTCATGTAAACTGCATTCTGTTCGGCACAAAGTAGGTACTTAGTAGTATTTGGTAAAAGTTAAGCACTGCTTTAAGAAATGTATGGGATAGCACCTTATGCTAATTTTCAGTTCAGAAACTGGGTAGAAATGATTGGCCATACATCTCTATTTCCCATGTTTTCAAAAATGTTAATGGTGCAGGTAGTCTTACATGAATATGGTTCCTAAAGTTCATTTCTTAGGAAACAAGCACATATTTTCTCAAGTATATTAGGACTCATTAGGTAGTGAGTGGCAGAAACCCAGCTCAAACTGGCTTAGGCAAAGGGGATTTGGTTCATTAGATACCAGGGTATCACATGAAGTTTTTACAACCAATAAATGCTAAAGGAAATCTATAGCTAGACTTCAGAGACATTCGGAGGCAGAGATTTGAACAGCTCTAGAAATTGATCTTATTTCTGTGGGGTAAGCTTCACTCTCTCCTGGCTTCTTTCATAGACAAGGATACATACACCATCAATTCTACAATATCCTGTTAAAGTCCACCACCAGAAAGGAACTAACACAGGCTGTCTTAGTTCTCAAGTCCAAAAATCCTGGAAAAGTGTTGTGACTGGCCTATCTTAAAGTCAGATGCCCATCTCTAAGCTTGAGTGAGGTGTCTCCTTTGAGATGATCAGCTGTGGCCAGGAGAGCCAGGTTTATAAAAATAGGGCAACTTCCATTCAACCACATGGCTGAGAAAAAGAACTATTTCCTACAAAAGGAAAGCCATATACGCCAAAGTAGCAAATTACTGTATGTAACACGTATCAAATAAGCCCTTTTCTTTTAAAAGGAAATGTTTTCTGCCCCCCAAACCCATTTTCTTTTTAAAATGTTTTTACTGATTTCAGAGAGAGGGGAAAGACAAGGGATAAAGAAACATCAATGAGAAACATTGATTGGCTGCCTCCTGCAAGACTCCCACTGAGGACTGAGCCCACAACCCGGGAATGTGCCCTGTGAACCAGTGACCTCTTCGTTCATAGGTCGATGCTCAACCACGAGTAACGCCAGCCCGGCCCATTTTTCATTATACAGCCAAATCCCTGACATTCAAGGGATTGCTTAACCTTTTAATATCCAGTTAAACAATATACCTTAGTGCTTATGACATGCCCAGCATTGTACCAAATGTTCTGTAAGTGAAGTTTAGAAATCTATCAATTTTTTTTTGTTAATTCTTACTCGAGGACATTTTTTCCATTGATTTTTAGAGTGGAAGGGAGGGGGAGAGACATCAACCAAGGCTGGGGACTGAGCCTTTGATCAGAATTGAACCAAAGACCTTTCAGTTTGAGGGCCAACACTCTAACCACTGAGCAAACCCACAAGGTCTCCTCTATCAATTTTTGATGAAAGAACAGTTAACATGGCTAAAAGAACATTTAAGAAGGAAAATAGAGCCTGAGACGCAAGTATTCATAAAAAAGCCATACCAATGATACAACTGTTTTACTGGGCTCAACAAACTTGGGCAACTCTTTTTACTTTCTAAAATTCTTTTTATGTAAACAAAATATATTTCCAAAGTTTGCAGATATTTAATAAATTGGGGAGAGATACAATACTTGTTTGGAAAGACAACTCTTTAAAGAGCAAGTGAATTCCATTCAGGAAGAAACAAACAAACTGTATTTCCAATCCATTTATTTCTTAAGCTATCAAATACTTCTCTTTCAAGTCACTTTTTCGGTGTGTATTTATTTAGAGAGCCTTTTGGAAATGAATTAATAGTCTTTTTTATTCTGTTGACTAATTCTTGAGGATGTTGAGAAATCTCCAGATAACCTGTATGTTTTCTCTTAGGAACAAACTTCAGAGCCTCTTCCCAACTACCAGTGTTTTTCAGACATAACAAAATACGTGTTACTTGATCTATGGTGAGATTTTTTGTACCAGTGTCCCACTGTAAATATTTATCTAATGGAAAGCATTCTGTTGCCAGTTTCAGCCGTTTTGCCTTGGCTAGGGATGCGCCTGGCTGCATGTTCTTATCAACAAAAGATCCCACTATATAAATTTTGTCATGCTTGAAAGTAGTCATAACATTGGGAGAATCTGCAGTTAGATATATAATACTGTCCTTTGGAAATAAATCTACGTGAGACTTTTCTGTTGCTGTTAAAAGCAATTTGTTCCATTTTTCTCCATAACGTTTAATTAACTCTCTACGAAAAGGGCTATCTGGTTTAAGATTGCAGAAATGAATATGGAAAGGATCGACATCTCTTCTGTTCCATCCTTCGCTTTCTAGAAGCTGAGAAACAGTATACTGCAGTTCTTTTGGTTTCATATAATCATCATAAGCCATGTCAAAAACCAAAGGTTGTCCAAACTGCATGGCCTGGGCACCCTTCCAGCCCATTGCTATGTCCATATTCCTATCCCAAAGTCGTAGAAATAGAAAGTCTTGCTGTTTTTCTTGGTTAGTGGTTTCTAGCAGCTGGTCTTGTATTGCTTTTTCCCTTGCTGCTGCTTTCATTTCCTTTTTTATTTGCTTAGCTTTCTTCATTTTCTCCCTAAGATATAAATATTTTAAATATTTTTTTTTTGATGATTTAGAATCACATTCCATAATGGTTTTGAGCTCTTCTTCACTGATGTGTTCTGGTACTTCCCTGCCAAGCAATCTCCACATCTCAATTAATTCCCTAGTGGCAGCTACAGGATCTTCATCTTTGGCACTTGAAACTGTTGAAACACCTTCTTGCACACTAGATTTCATTGTAATTTTCCACCCATCCAATTCCAGCTGTTCAGGTGATGTATTTTCCTTTTTAGGATAGGATTCAGCTGGTATTTTGGAAGACATGTGTCTGTGCAGAATCGTTGAATATAAAACCCTTCTCTTCCTATTAAGGGTAAATGGCACCAAAACTCTGGCAAAAGGTCTTATGAAGGTGATACCAATACTCATTTTGAGGAAAACAGGCATGTAAGAAAACCCCTATAAAAGAAGAAAAATGTCATGAAAAGTTAAAGATTAAAAAAACCCTCTAACTACAAGTATAAATTTGAGACATTCAAATGCAATCAATTTCTGAAACACAAAGTGGAATCTTAGTACAACTTTATTTGCTGCACCATTAATTTTTCCTAGACTCCTGTGGCCTAGAGTCTATGATCACTCACTAAGCAAAAGTGTAAAACTTATTTGGGTTCTTATTTTAGACATGAATTTCACTATTGCTTTAGGCAAAAGGGTACTTTGAAGTTCCTTCAGGGCCCAGAAAATCAATATTACTAGGTAACAGTTATATATCACTAATGTGGCTAAGGTCATGATGTTGTATTCTTCTCCATTCTATACTAACCCCGATACAGAGTGGATCACCCACTCTGTACAGACCCAAACATAAGATCCGTACCATTAGCAACACGTGAAAACAAGGGGCAGAAAAGTTACAGAATATGACAACTGGTAAAAAAGCACTTGGGAGCTTCTCTACCAAGGCTCTCACATTTCAAAACAGAAATATAAAGAGATCTACTGATTTTAAAACAAACAAACCGCCTTTCCCTAGTCCAGACTTTATTTTGCAGCAAATAATGTTACTGCCAAACAAAATGTCCAAACTGAGGGAAAATATATATAAGCTCCACAGTTTATCCTATAGGTCTGGGGTCCACAAGACAATGAAGACCCTTAAAGATGTGAA